AAAAAAAATCTAATAAAAACACATGGAAAGGGGGCTCAACATCATCAGTCTTTCTGGAACTGTACATCAAAATCGCAGTGAATCTCACCTCAGCTATTATGGTCTCCAGCAAAAATCTCCATAGATCTTCAAAGGCTGCTGCTCACTGGGACCTTCCTGGGAAACTTGCTACTCAGCTTCATTCCAGCAATTGCAGCTTGGGTACCATCCTTGCAATAGCCCAAACATGAGCTGCAGGTCTCCTCAAGAACAACAGGGGGCGACAATAAACCACATATTCAACAGGGAAAACTCTCCTTGAGGTGACAACCTATCTTGAAGCCTTGTTTCCATCCCAGTTCCAACAGACCTGGAGCTCCCTCACATAATCATTTCCTGTGTCTCCAAGACCCCCACTCTACAAGGAGACCCTATGTGGTCCCCTCCCTCCTCTCATCATCCATGAGGAAAGACAGGAAGATCGCAGGGCAATCACCAAGGAGAGCAAAGGCAATCCAGAAGGTCGAGGAGGGCATGGGCAGACCTGAATCACATTCAGCCAGCAAAAGAAGCTGGGGATGGAGGAGTCTCCCTGGTGGCCTACATAGAAAGCTGGAGCACAGGGTCCTCTTCCTAGGACACACAGGTCACCTCCTCCTGCAGAGCAGAATATGAACCCCTGAGATAACATGTATTCCTTCATCAGACACCTGACTGGTGACACTAGTGATGACAGGTCTGGGCCCTCCACAGGCATCACTGGACTTTTTCCTGCCCCTAGAGTAGACTGCCACTCTCTGCTGAGAAGAAATCCCACCTTCCCTGAGCACTGAGATCACAGGGCAGATTGGGCTCCGCTAGGTTTTGGGGTCTCAAGGAAATACACTCTTGGCTATAGGAAGTTCAGGGACAAGGCTCTGGGGTGAGCTGCTGTTCTCTCAGGACAGTTCTCAGCATTTTGGCTCAGAGTATATTCTAGAACACTGAACAACAAAGGAATAGAAGGATGGGAGGCAGTATTCACAGAAGAACAGAACAATATTCACACACAGCCTCCACCCCTAGCCCATCTGACTCCATTTAGTCCCCTCCTCTGGGAGGAGGCTGAGGTCTGGGAATAAAATCAGAGCAGACACCAGAGGAGCCCAGCTTGGCAGCAGCTTCAGAGACAAACCTCCTCTCCAGAACAAGAGCCTAGCCCACAGCAGAGACCATGGAACTCACCTCAGCCTCTCTCCACAAAGAACAGGTCTCCTGGAGAGGACTCCTGCTCACAGGTGAGGAGACATTCCTCGGGAGTAGAGAGTTGGACAGTTCATAGACTGGATGGGTCTTCTGGGAGAGGGAAAGAGCCTGAGACCATCAGGAAGCTCATAGTGGATGGGAATCAGAAATTGGAGGAGGAAAAACTCATTTGCTCCCCATTGTAGATTTATCAGCACTGGCCACTGTATCCTGAAGACTCAAGTTGACAACTCCATCAGGGTGACTCTCCAAGTAAAACTCAAAGTGGGCGAGTAAACAACATCATTATGTAGGACCCTGAGAAATCTGCAAATAAACCCCAGGCTCTGGGGCACTCATTTGCTCACAGGTATCTGAGCCTGTTTGAAGTAGAGAGGTTTAAACCAAAATCAAACTAGTCCTCCTCACAAAGCCCTGCTACTATTTGGCAGGAAGACAGAGCAGCAAGGAAATCTAGAAGGTGGTCCCAGGGGTTGACAAGCACTTCAGAGAAAACAGAGCAGGGACAGCTCAGAAAATGAAGGCACAGAGTCTTTTAGAGGAGGAGGTCAGACAAGACATGCCTACACTCACCATAGATTCTGAGTATGAGTAGGGATCTGAGGGCAGTGAGGGGTGAGCTGTGTGGACACTATGAAGCCAGTTTCATAAAGTGAAAAGAAACAGGGATACTGATGAATGGGGGTGATGCTGATGACTTCCCCTCAACAGGCCACAAACACCAAGGCTAAGAGTTAGACACTCACATTTCAAATTTCCACCAAAAGCAAAGGTCCTAATATTGATAGATTTTTTTTCTCTCTTCCCTCTTAGTCTCTCTTTTAACCTACTGGACCTCTCCGACAGCTGCCCAGCAACTCAGTCTTGTAGCAGTTCCACCTAATGCTGCTGTAGGGACTAACGTTTTACTAAGTATCATAAATAAACCGGACCATTTACTCTGTAACTGGTACGAGAAAGAAAAATTTGAAAGGCACATGTTGGGCAGCACTGATGAATATGGCACTCCTAGACCTGGCAGGGGATTCCAAGATAAAGTGGCCATGCAGGGCAATTGCTCCATAGTCATCAAGAATGTCAATAAGGAGAATTCAGGAATTTACAAGATGAAATTGTGGAAACGGGATCGTCAGATAGTTGTAGGCAGCGTGGAGTTTCATGTATACTGTAAGTAATTCTCTGTAACCTCTGGGTCATGGGTGGAACTAATCAGACCTTACATATAGGGTTGTCATTCCTGGATGGCTCTGTGTTATGGTCCCCACATTGTGATAAAAACATTTAGTAAAGAGAAAAAGTATTGCTAATAAATCAGGATGCCTCACTTGAATTCACCCTCGGGGAAGAGGCGGTGAGGTAACTGAGCTCAGGCATGTTAGACTCTGCCCAGGGTCTTAGGT